GTCATCAAAAGGTTATCTTACACCCAAAAAGCGTGTATTGATTGTGCGCGCTCGGCACGATCTCTGAGAGAGCCGAGGAATATCTGCTGGGGGAATTTACACAGTATTTATTTTTTGCATTAGGATTACGGTGGGCGTTGGGGACGATCAATGCGTGTTTAATGTAGCTGCAGGGATCAGACCATGAATCATAGGCTCCAGGGCGATTCCATTTTATTTGGCATCATCATTGAAGTGATTAAGGGCAAGCCATCCCTCAGTTTAGTCAACACGTGGAATTAGACTTCCATGGGGATAACTGTGCCAAGTACGTTTGGCAAGTGATGCATGATCCATAAAAACACCAAAAAAATATGACGCCTGCTTGGAAAGTGTTTTGTTTTAAACGGTAACTTTCTAGTTTTACCATATAAGGGTAAAGTTTCACATTCTACCAATGATTTACTCTTTATTAGACTTCTGCAAGATAGAAAAGCACAGTGACAATAATGCTGAATATAATGATGCGCTTCGCAAATATAACACTAATATTATATGTATTTTTGAAATATGACACAGCTGTGAGCAGATTTATTATGATCCATCTTTAGATCCAGTCACTGGGGGCTGCTGGTAAAAATGGTAAATTGCCTGCAGTTATATAGCATCTTCTAGAGTCCTAAAACCCCTCAAGGTTCTTTACAACACAACAGTCATTCACTCACACACACATATAGTGGTGAGCTACAAAGCAGCCACAGCTACCCAGGCACACTGACCACCGGTCACATCTACCACCAGGTGGGTGAGTTTTGCCCAAAGACACGACTGCAACAGACTGAACTGTAACCCTCTGGTTTTAAGACAGGCCCAAGTTCACTTGTTTTTTTCAACTCTTTCAATAGGGAGCAGAAGATGACAAGATTTAAAGCTAATTTTCTGATATTCAGATATCTCATTTCTGACTGGTTAACAGAAACGTGACTCTACTGACCTTGTTTGCAACATTGATGGTTTATCTCCACAAATAACAGAAGCCTGAATGAGTTTTGTCATGTGATGTAGAGTTGTTAATGCTAACGGTTAGCTTCTGCTAGCTGAGACGTCCTCGGCTGTTTCTAGGATGCTACATCAACAGAGCCCCAAATTAATGTTGACTCATTTTCAGTGTGGTGTAGATGTGACTGGTGCTTCTAACCCTATAGTGCTTCCCTGTCTATTTTCTATCAGAAGCTAATGCAGCTAATAGGTAGTAGACTATTTTCATGTTCAGCCTGCATGAAAACTCAGTGACTGATCATATTTAAAAAATAACAAGTAAAAAATGTTTCTTTGTGAATTTCATCGCCAGCTCCTCCGCCACTGTCACAAAATCTGAATGAGACATTTATTTTCCAAAATGTTTCAAAAGTTCCACAGAGGGTTTGCAATTTCTTTTCACGAATCACATGGACTCGTTTTATGTCACAGCTTTCTTTTTAAAGTACTCACAGGGATTTAAGCCCATCCTAATTCAGTTTTTGTGAGCCAGAAAACTGTTGGTCACTATTGGAAACTATTTGGAAACACAACATTGCACTAAACAAACACTAGGGGGTGCTAAAAACAAGCTAAACTGCCTTGTGTGACTTTAAATGGCTTCACAAGACATAAGGTCTTTACAAACATTTTGAGAGAAATTTTTGGAACATGTCCAAAATATTAGCAACAAGAGAGTGAGGCTCCGCATCTCACAAGAGGAGACTGAGGTGAGAACCCTCATTAATGTGTTGAGACATCCTCGGGAGTGCTGGTAAGTTGGGGAAGGGAGAATCTGACACCCAAGTGTGATGAAACTGCAATTTAGTCTCGCCCAAAAAAATCATATTAGTAAAGTTTGTGGGGATCTGTTACATCCTACAACTCATTTAAATAAGTGGATTACTTGTCCAATCAATACACTTGCATTGGTCTCTAGTAGGAAGAAATCAATCAATCAATCAATCAATCAAAGTTTACTTATATAGCGCTTTGCACTACCCAGAAGGTCACCAAAGTGCTTAACATTAAAAGTAGAAATATGCCTTACTGGCAGAACTCAGGGCACAAAAAAAGCCCACAAACTCCTGGCCCAGCAGGACCAAGTCTACGACATCAGAGCTGTGCTTCAAACGGGAGGATTTGGAGTCTTATTTCCTGATATTTAGACATCTTGCCTAGGATTGGATAAAACCGAAGCAACTTGACAACTATCTCTGTTAGGATGTTTTATCTCCACAAACGACAAGCCTGGAAGAGATTCGGCGATGTGTTTGAGTTGCTAATGCTAGTGGTTAGCTCCTGTTGACTGAGACGTTCTCTGCTGATTCTGGACCCTAAAACAACAACAGCCTTCCCTGTCATGAGTCAATAAGGGTAAGTTCAACTCACAGCGTGGCGTAGATCCGTCAGGCTTTTTACCTATATCTGTTTTCTATCAGCAGCCAATGCAGCAGATAGGTGTAGGAGACTATTTCATGTTAAGCCTGCATGAAAAACTCAGAGTGACTATTATAATCAGAAATAATCGTTAAATAAATGTTTTTTAGTGAATCACACCTTTAAAGAGTGCTCTTCACAGAAAAGATAAGATATTTTCAAAAATTACCCAAATTACCAACTAAAGGTGAGGCAGCAAAAAGAGGTAAGACTTGCAACATCTCTCCACAGAAAACCTTCAGAGATATGCTGCTGTCTAGAAGAAACCATAAATTTAGCAGTTTGACAGGATCAGTTCTAACAAAACATGTATCACAGCCACACACTGCCATGCTGCAACAACAGTAAAGATCAATTCATCAGCAGACATCAAAAGCACAGGAAAAGTGTTTTATCATGTGTGGTTGGTGAAGAAAACAGCACCACTGGACCACGGCCAGGCTCTTCTGTCATAAGAAGAAAAAAAAACACAATCAGTTTTTCTGCTGATGAAGAAAAGTTAGGAAACAGATCGTAGATCATTTTCACTTTTCCATCACCCAAAATCTCCCAGCACCGGGCACGTCAGCCTGGAGACACTCATCGACATGGACCGCATAGCCAAACAGCAATCCTGTGCTACAAATGAATAATTCAACCGCAACCAATAAGCCAATGTTCCAGCATTCAGCGCATGACACAAAAATGATCGCTTCTAGTCTCATGTCTGTTAAAATTACAGAGATTAATAGGAGCACTTGCAAACATTAGGATGCTGACAACCAATGGCAGGCATGTTTGATTTGCACTGATTCAGGGGAAGAATGGATCTAAAATCACTTTAAACATGGCTCATATAAAACAAAGTTTAGTGGTAGCGTGACAGAAAAATACCTCAAAATATGAGTTTTTAGGTGTTTGATGTTAAAATAATTGTGATCCAGTGAAGTCCCTTTGAAGCATGCCATCTTTAGTCAAAAGACACCAAGTAAATCATGGTCATCAGTCATCAATTAGGTTGGAGGTGAAATAATGACTTTGTTTTCAAAAGGTTGAGTGTTGTTGGACTGGCGAGCAACTCAATATATTATTTTGTGTTTTATATATATATATATATATATATATATATATATATATATATATATATATATATATACATACATATATACTATACTGTAAATCCTCTAAAATTAGCCTGTATTTAATTAACTGCCGGGTATCATATTTTGGCCGGTGTCTGTGTCGGCGGAGGTGAATAATGGCCGGTTTTTTATTGTGGCCGGGTGGAATGTGGTAACAAGCAAGTACCACAGGGGGGCCGTTGTGTCATCCGTCTCACTTTTGATTTGCCAGTGATAGACCGCGACGGTAACTTTAACCGTGCGGAGATGAAGAGGAGGCAAAAATTTGATATCAAGTTCAAAGAGAACGTGCTGATTATGCTGCACACCACTCTGGGGAGCAGTAGCAGGGGTTGTATGAACTAGTCACTAGTCGACTTCACCGCTCTATAGTGACTTTTTATGCCTGTCACCGACTAGTCGCTGTCACGTGATAATGACCGGCAAGATGCAGTCCTCGGAAAAGACAGCAGCCTGCTGTCAGCAGGTGACAAGCTCCTCCGTGTCGGGAGGCAACACGCTGTGCCAGAGCGTCGGCACTGACACCCGCCGTAAAACGGACATTTAACAAATTTGTGACGTTTACTCTCTTGCAATTTAACATTCCCCTCACCCCCATCCTAACCTTAACCAGCTTGCGCATGCAAAGCTCTGATTGTTGACACGCTCCAGACATCTGCGTCCTGAGCATGGGCAAAGTAACATCATCAATTCAGGTGTCGCCACCTCAAAAACTAATTTAACACGCAATCGTTCATGTCGGCTCATTTCCTTTTATGTTTTCTGTCTTTTATTCTTTTATTTGTGCCTGATGCGTTTCGCTGCTGTGGATCGGGGCGCATCACCCGTTTTGTCCTCGGTGACGCACCGATCACTGATGTGGCCGGGAGCACTCTGCTGTTTTTGGGGTCGGTAGATCTTTTAGAACTGCAGTTCAAAGGTAACTCATAAGGTGAATATATATGAAGGCAGGTAGCAGTTTTTCTTTAGGATTGAGAGGAGATGCAGGAAGATAATAAACAGGCAGGACAGAAAAATAGTAAAATAAAAACAAGTTAGTTTTTGTACCTGGTGGTTGCAACAAACAGACACCATTGAAGGTAATCAGAAGTGAGGAACAGAAAATGAAATAATTATTTTAATGTTTAGAGCAGCAGGAACACTGAGAGGCTGCAGGCGCATCAGGGAGTTTGCGGCCGCTGTGCAGGGGGAGGGGGGAGAGGGCTGAAGCAGAAACTACCGTTGTTAAAAGAAATGTGTTTAACTTTGAAAATGTGGGCGCAATTTTAATTGTCAAAAACTCCAGCGAACCATTAGTTCATTTTGCGCAAATAGAAATAGAGGCCTGCCTCTAATTCTGGTCCTCCTTCCAATAAAGGCATGGAACTTGATGAGATTGAGTCAAATACAGGCCCGGGCCTGTATTAGAGGATTTACGGTATGTATATATATATATAGTGGCTGTGTCTCAATTCAGGGTCTGCATCCTACCTCGGCCGGATTCGTCGGCCGGTTACGTCACAGCGCCGCGACTCGGCCTGTCCCAATTCGAAGACTCCTTCAAATGCGGTCGACGAATGCGGCCTTCTTTTCGCCTGAATGAAGGATGGGTCGGGTGTATCCTTCAATAGGTAGCATTTCCCAAGATGCCTTGCGGGCCGGCCGGCAGAAAAACTTAAAAACAATGGCGGACAGTGAAGCGGGAGCTGTCGGAGAGGATTGCGCATATAAATGTCAGTATAAACTTGAAAACTGTCAGTTTAAGGACTTTTTGTGATACATGAACGTTATTTTAGTTAGAAATGTAACAGTAAAAGTGCTTGTATTGCGGTCTCGGCTCGTATGTTCGGCCGCGCTCGGTGTCGTACTTCTCCCACTACGTTTCCCCCTGATTTTAATAGAAGTTTGTATTTTAGGACCAAAAGAGAAAACCAGGGAATTTATTAAGCTTAGGGCGGAGATGGACCACATGATCACCGGAGCAAAGTATTCGGCGGCTGTGGCATGGAGGTACAATAACATCTCATATTTTAAAAACTCGTTTGAGTATATTTTTTTCTGCCAAAACATGAAAGGAATAACCCGTTGTCCTCTTTTCTCTTCCTGTTTCTTTTCTTACATGTTTGTTAAGACTATTCTGGAGAAAATGGGCATCCAGGGGAAGGTGCCAGCAATGAGCTTCTGGAGCTGATCTGGGAGGACTTGAGGCTGCAGAGGGAGGCAGAGCAGCAGAGAGCACAGGAGAGAAGGAAGAACTTTGACAGCTTTTTACTTTGCTAGAAAAAAATGGTTAATGAAGATTAAACATGTACATGTAAAAGAAATATCTAAATAAAATCAGTTCTGCATTAAACTCTTGAATTTTATTTTTGTTTACAAATGAGAATTGTTTACTAGAGGGTATCCGCTGGGTCTTGAAAAGTCTTAAAAGGTGATAAATCGGTTTTGGTCAAAGTAAGACCCTTAGAAAGTATTAAAAACTATTATCACATCTTTGCTCAGGCTCAGCTAGTCTAAAGTATTTTCTCTGAATTAGCTCTCCAACAGTCAAGGAAATGATTAACCCCCAGAGACCCACGGTTGTAGTATTACAACATCAGATTTAAGTCTACAAAAATAAATCTTCCCCATTTTTTTTCTTTTTAAAACCACATTTACATTGCTAATAGGTCCTATTCAGTTCTGCAACACTATTGGCTGTTAAAATGTGTAAATAGGCACGTTTATCTGGCCTCCTAGAACAACATGTGAAAGGTTAAAAAATATTTTGCAGTTGTTTTCTAAATTTGGGTTTCTGGGGGTTAAAAAGCTAAATAAAACGTCGAGCTCCATCGTTTAAGGTTCCTTCTGCCCAGCGGTTCCACGGTTGCCAGGCGACGGAACGTTCGCCGAGGGAGTTCATGAAGGCTAGGCCTGTCCAAATTCACAGCCGTTAACATCCGGTCTACCCGGCCGACGGAGGACGCAGCCCACGTCGGCCGGGTGGGCTGGGTCCTTCGAAGGATGCAGACCCTGAATTGAGACACAGCCAGTATGTAGTCTGGCCACAATCCATAGACAGAGCTTAGTCTTAGGGCTGAATCTATGGTTGTCTTTCAAACTGTCTCCACATGCTATTGAACAGTGAACAAAATGGCATACTTACTGCTACGGATGTCAGTCAACCATCCACTATTAAAGACACAAATACATCCTTTTTCTAAATAAAGGACTTAGGTACCTCTATCTGCTCTTGACTCAAAGAAAAGCTCAAGTCTACAGACATAGGCGTCATTTTAACCGGGGACGCCGGGGACATGTCCCCGGCAAAATTTGTGATTGGCAGCTGTGTCCCCCCCACTTTCAAAAACGCCTGCTGATGAGGATTTTTGTTTTACCAGCTCAGATCTTATACCAGGGGTCGGCAACCTGTTCCCATCAAAGAGCCATTATTACCCGTTTCCCACGGTAATTTTGGACGGACCTTAATAAGCAGTGACTTAAGTGAAGCAGGCAGGTCGCGCTAGAAAATTTAGTTTAAAAAGACGTCATAAATGTTTTCCCCCGTCCTTTTTATTTATAAAATATGAAGTAAAAACTCACAATTTAATTTTCATTCATTTGTCATTAATATGTAGTCTACACCCGTGCGTTAAGTGGACCATCTTCCAGTAAACGCAAAGCTGCAGCCCACCTCTCCAAATGCGTAAAATGTGCATCAGCCGCTAGTTAGGCGCGCCGCACACCATCAGCTGATCAGCCCAGACAAGAGCAGAGCAAATAGAGAAAGAATAGAGGATAATTGTGTCTGGATGTGGATGGAGATTACATTTTACAGCAGCCTGATCATCATTTAAATACGTAAACCATCACCTGGCTTCTAGTCCACGCTATCAGCATTATTTTAATTGGTGTGTGTGTGTGTGTGTTTTCCACTTCAAACACTGGTCTAACCAACCAGACCAGCGTACCCAGTAACACATTAATGTTACAATTAAACAGTTTCCCTTCATGTAGGCTAGGAACGTTTCACCTGCCGTGGCCCGACCGCTTCTGCCCCACATAAACTTTGTGCGTGATCAAATGTCTCTACGCGTCATGCGTCTCCATATTAGAGACGGGAACAAGCGCTGTTCAGCCAAACTTTCATAATTTCATAAAAAGAACATTTTTCCAAGTGACACATCCCTCAGAGAGACCGGGTTTCCAGACTGTTGTAGTGGGAGGAAATCTTATCGCATATGCGCCGGTTCTGCACTGGGCTGCGAACCCCAGATCTTCAGCTCACTGTCCACCGTGGGTGCTCCGAGCCGCGCTGAACAGTCCAGTATAAAGCTCTGATGTTGATGGGAATAATTTACCTCCGCGGTGTGTTTAACGATTACATCCATGTGCATCAGTGTGCGTCGGGGTAATTCTTTCAAACCAAGCAACATCCTTGAGTTCATCTGTCAAAATAAACAGTCAAATGGAAATATCTGAAACCTGCCGTTTAACTGTTTTGCCTTCTTGTGAAGATTGTTGCAAAGAGAAACAATTAAACTTGATTAACCCCAGAGCCACCAAGAGAACCAGAGCGCATGTGGTTCCTCCCACTGAAGCGAGTGTTTTCCAAACCCCGTCTCTCAGAGAGACTTGTCACTTAGAAAATGTTCCCTGATTATGAAACTTTGGCTGAATAGCGCTTGTTCCTGTCTCCAATGTGGCGACACATCCAGGAGCCGTCTGAGGAGAATCCCAGAATCTCACATCCTCTTCAGCTCATAAAGCGCCTATGATTACGCACAAGCGTGACGCGTCAACCCGGTCTCACAGTAAGACCGGGTTGGACCTGTTCAGGTTTACGCAGACAATCTTTACATTTAGAATTGGCATACAGATGTAAAATTAATGCAGTAAAATATAAAGCATTTTATTTAAATATCCATTCATTATTTTACAAGCACAGATGTCAGATGGATGGAAGAACCGCATGCGGCTCCAGAGCCGCGGATTGCCGACCCCTGTGCTAGCCTACTTTATTGTCCCCAGCGATTTTTAAACCCCACTCAAGTGTATGGTTATTGTCCCCAGCAATTCTGAAAACAAACTGACGCCCTTGTCTACAGAGTCCAAAGTTGATGCCAACACTGTTTCAAACAAGCCACCGCAATCTTAGATGTTTCATTTTGTCACATCATTCCGCCACCTAACCAATGGAGCGCTGTGATTGGCCCACGGAACCAAAAGGGCCCTGTGATTGGCATTACACAATAGGGTTGGGTGATGAGACTAATTATTCCACCATCGGTGATGGGCTGAGACGTTACGGTTGTTTTTTGTTTGTTTATTTATTTATGTCACGCCCGTTGGGAGTAGTGCCATGGTTTCTCCAGGAGAGGGAGCTATTCAGAACCTTGGCCTGCTCCTCAGCTCCAGCCTGCAGCTTGCTTGACCACAGTTGATCCCCATCATGTCTGATCAGGGTTGCTTAAAAGTTGCAGCTGTGTATGTAACTCGAGAGAGAGAGAGAGAGAGAGAGAGAGAGAGAGAGAGAGAGAGAGAGAGAGAGAGAGAGAGAGAGAGAGAGAGAGAGAGAGAGAGAGAGAGAGAGAGAGAGAGAGAGAGAGAGAGAGAGAGAGAGAGAGAGAGAGAGAGAGAGAGAGAGAGATCAGTGGCTCAGAGGTGTTGCTTGTCTCTGCTACTCTCCCTTTGAGCTCGTCCTCGGATACCTTCATAGACCTTGTAAATAATATTCTATAGTGTGTGTGTGTGTGTGTGTGTGTGTGTGTGTGTGATTGTTTGATGGTAGATTAGGTTAGGCTTGTTATAGATCTTGTTAAGCCGTTCGGTAAGTTTGTTTAGTGGGTTTCTATAAATCTTGTATTCAATTTTTGATAACTTTACTTTCTACAGTAGTTCACGTCAGTAACATTCCTGTCTCCATTCAGGCTCCTTTGGTTTATTCCTGAGTAACCCGGTTTTGTGTGTGTGTATTTTATTCCTAAATGAAACAGGCTCCCTTACCTGTGGTTAGCTCTTATACTAGAGGTTCTCTAGCTCCTTTTGTTCCTTATTACTCTTTTAATCCTTGTGTAAGAAACCCGTTTTGATTCATTTGATGAGCGCAGGGGTTGAGTCCTTTAAACACAAGGGGTGTTACACCCCGACCACACAGCTTCCTCAACCGGGACGTAACATACAATGGGGGCTTGTCCGGGAACTTCAACCATCCCATGAAGGACTTTTAATGGCATGTGCTTTTAGCAAACAGGTTTTTTTCGTAGGATTTTAAGATGTGTGGTCAGCTGTGTCCTCTCAGTAAAAATCCTCTAAGCTTCACAGCACCAGAAACAGAAAAGCAAAAGGTCCAAAAAAAAAAACAGTTTCCCCGAAGATGCCAGTAGAAAAAACGTCCAAAAAAGGCTAAACTCACATGCAGTTAACAGAGCTACTCCAACATGCAGCCACCCAGAGCAGCGCAAGACTTGGAATACAGAACAGAACAACATTTAAACATCCATGAGTCTGTCTGAGGCACAAGTCCAAAACCTCATAACCTCTTCGGTAAGCTCCCTAGGGAGTACGTACAAGCTGCAGGTGACTCAGCTTCTACAAAAAAAATCAGTGTTTGGACTTCTTCTGTGTTCGCAAATCAGTCTTCATTACGTTGCTTAACGAGTCACATGCACGAATAAATCGACTGGCGGTGGGAAAAATGATGACTAGACCGACCTACAGAACAAAAATATTTAGCTTCTGCTACTGTCTGTCTAAATTTTTAGGCTAGAGTTTTTTTTTGTTTGTTTGTTTACATGAAAACACACAGTTCATGTTACAAGATGGTTTTTCCTAAAGGTTTTGTTTCTGGTTGTGTCAAATCAAACCCCAAAACAAGAATCTGACTTCTAGAATGATAATACTCACCTGAGTGAAGAGACTATCACAGTTTGTAGGCTTCTTCCTAGTGAATGCCATTCTATATATGCATTTCTTTAAATAGATGCAAAAACCATTCCATTCTAAATATCACACTCACCTTCGTTTGTGTGCATGTGTATCAGGACACATGAAGGGTTTTGGTGTTGATCTTTTGTCGTACAGTAAAGATGTCCTAGGTGTTGAACCTGCAGAAGGGCGTTTCTATATCTGGATCACACGCTCTCTGCATGCTTCTGGAACTTTCTTTCTACCCTCGGGACATGCATGTTAGGTCTCTACCCTTGATTGAGAAAAAAAAGCCCCCAAACCTTTACCATGGAGCTGATCTGTGACTGCACGCTGCTCCTCTATGCAATAGCTAGGAAGGGTCAAATACATGACAACAGTTGTAACATTTAACAAGACATGTTACGGGAAATGTGTAGATACTAAAATAGATACGATATACAAGTA